CACTTAAGAAGACAAGGAGAAATACAGCATAGATATCGAGAGAGAAGAGCGAGAGAGAAGAAGGTTGGAGAGAGAAACAGAAAAAGAAAATAGAGTGAGATGAGTGATATAGAGGATTTAATGAAAAGAGTGAGAGTAAAATAATAGAAGAAAGGATGAGACTGCAGGCAGAGGGGTTAAAAATCTAGATACAGAGAGGGTGGAAAGAAACGCTTAAAGACAGCGAAAAAAGGTCTGTAGAAGAGAGAGTAGAAGGCAGAGGAATTAAATGATTAGTATATAGAGGGGTTAAAGAAAAGTAACGAACAGAGACAGAGGAGGTAAAAAAAGAACAGAGGAAGGAGGGAAAGTAAAAGGGAGATGAGTTAAAAGAGTAGATACATAGTGGGAGGAAATAAAAAAACGCATACAGTCAGCGAACAGAGAAAGGAGTGAGAGTAAAAGGTTGAGGAGTTAAAGAGTTGAACAGACAGAGGGATTAAAAGACTAGATGAGTGAGTGGGAATAAAAGATATCACAGTTAAAAAGAGGGGATAACATTGTGCCAAATTCAAGTTCCAGCACGAATAAATCATTTCTTTCAGTTTTCCCGTCCGCCATTCCGCTTCTTTGATACGGAACGCTTATTATTTTATATAAAGGCAACAAACTGCATAGCACTTATTTCGATTAAATGTGTTACTCTGAACGACTACTCTGCTACTTATGTAAATGTAAAAATACTTTTAGTTCGTAACAATATACGTGAGTGGTGATTATAAAAAGACACTGTTGATTATTTACGGTTAATTAGTTTAAATAATCAACTACTTATTTTTAGCGTCAGGTGGGAACAATTATAAGTAAAATGATGCTCTAAAATAAGTAACTAAGTAATCGCTTTCTGAATATCGGTGCCTTTTATAAATAATTTTCTCCACGGCATGATTATTTTGTTCTTTTTTTTTTTTTTTAAGCCATCAAGTTCAGCGGCCTGGGAGGGAAAGACAATGAGAAGCGAAACCCAATCTAAACAGGATTATGCAAAACTCTAATCTGTTAAAAAAAAAAAAGACGCAAGCGGCTCCTGGGAGGGAAAAAGACAATGAGAAGATTCTAAAAAGCGCACTTATTTTTAGAAAAAAGTGAAATGGTATAAAGCTAGAAAATGAGAGGAGGTACCAATATATATATATATATATATATATATATATATATATATATATATATATATATATATCTAAAACAGGAAACAAAGTCCATTGCAAAATTTCATGAATATATACAAATAATCCTTGAACCAATTTTTTTTTTAAAAAAACGGAGGAGAGAAAGATGAAAAAACCGGACGATAGGCCCAAACCTCAATCGATTATCCGTCATAAATCCGTAAGGAAATCATCTTTTATTTGAACAGACATCACTTTATTTTGCTAAAGATTTCTTTTAAAAAAATTCTCATATTCCGGTACGTTCCTATTCTCAAAAAAAGCTACTATCATTCAATCGCATCTTTATTTTTTAAAGAAAAGTGTCTAACACTAACACAAACCACTAACTCTACTCCTAACCAGACAAAGGATGGACAATTTATGAAAAGAAAAACAATAAAAAGATAAAATGAGTAATATTCACCAAAAAGTTGGAAGAAAGGTTGCTGCTCAAATACACGTATATATATATATATATATATATATATATATATATATATATATATATATATATATATATATATATATATATATATTACTTAAACATTGTCGTTTTAGTGGATACTCGTATTTCAGTAGACGCTAAAAACTATATATTATATATATATATATATAGTATATATATATATATATATATATATATATATATATATTTATTTACTTTTTGATACTCTATTTCAGTGACCTGCTTTATATTAAAAATTGAAAAGAAATTTTAGAGAAAAGTATGGGCTCTCTGGCAGGATTCGAAACTGCTTGGTCATCAACTAACTGTTTAAACAAGCGGTCAAATACACATCAGATCAATGATCAACAAACTGAGAGAGTATGCTAAAAAGGCACATTGGAGAAAAAAAGAGCTCAATTTGAAATGACAGAGAATTAATATTATTTTCTTTTATTATTTTCCGGGGTACATTGACTTTCTACTAGTTTCATGGGCTTGCACGCAGTTTTCAGGTATATATATATATATATATATATATATATATATATATATATATATATATATATATATGTATATATAAACTTTCCGAATATGAGCGTTGTATGTCATTTAAAATTACTTGGATACAGGCATCGTTACAATGTTTCGGTGACTCTGATTTAAGAGGAAAAAATTAATAGACTACTTGAACTGCTATCTTTTGCTGAAACCCAAATGTACGCACCATTTTCTTTTTAAATGAATGATTAGAGATGATGAAAAATGGATTGTTTATAACAATTGGGAGAGAGAATTATTCTAGGGAAAATTGAAGGAGTCACTGGTAACCCCTGCAAAATCCGAAGAAGATATTGCAGTGAATCTGCTGTGACTGGAAGTGCTTTTTTATGCCGAAAATTAGATGTTTAATTCGGACAATTACTGCCTTCAATCGGACAAATTAAAGGCGTTAATCAATGAAAAACTACTGGATTTGGCCAATCGGACATGTGTCATTTTCCATCAGGACAGCATCAGACATCACGTTTCTTCACTCCAGCAGAAATTGGTGTAGCTTGGCTGGGATGTCTTGCGACACCCGCCGTTCTAACCTGAGCTTATATCTTTGGATTACCATTTATTTCCATCCATGCAAAATATCTCTTAATGGGGAGAACTTCAATTCCCCGGGAGCCTGAATAAACCATTTAAAGCACATTATTACTCAGAAATATGTCAAGTTATTTTGGGACGATACTGGAAGATACTGGAACAAACTTGCACACAAACGCTTTCATAAATCTATGTAAGCTAGTAATGTTTTTATTTGACTTATCTAATGGTTTTTGACCACTTCGACGTGGTGTATGGTCAGCAGATTTGTCTCGCTAGATAAATTACGACTGAGCAGTAAGTTCGATCTTCATTGGATAGCTTCAGACTTCCGGCCTTGTGCCGCCTCTAAGCTACACTTAGAAAATTATTTGGGCGCTTTGACGTCGTCTAATGGTTACTAAGCTTGTTTCGATTAATCAATTACGAGGGGATAGTGAGTTTGAACCTTACTATGTGCTCCATACATTCGACTTTGTGCCATTTCTAAGCTACGCTTAAAAAAATCACCATATTTAAGAATTTAAGTCCATTGATGAAATCGCCGGAATGTTTAATATGTACTGAGCTGATTTTTCCCAGGAAGGGAGTTAAGAGATTTTTTTCTCTATTGATGTTGCTGATTTGTGCGGCGTTCTGTGTATCCCTGATATCCCATTGGGTTGCCTGGTTTCTCTACCTTGGGTAGGCTTAAAACTTGGTTATATTTCGGTCGTATACTGTCAGTTTCGTCTATGATTTCTCTTCATTGGTAACTAAACGAACATGGATTTATTCGATTCTTGTGCTGCATCGATAATAGAATGGCTCCTCCTCGGAAGTACAAATATGAGAAAATTCAAGAAATATAATATTATCCGTGAGACAGAAACAGTCAACAAATTCATCGAAAAGTTCTTCTTGCAATTGGCGTTTAGTCTTTCTCTTCGATTTCCTTCTGTAGGAAGTCTTGTAATTTCCTTTCTTTGTCTGCCACCAACACTGCCATCTGCATATCTTATGGTGTTAAAATCGTGGTCACCAATAATGAATCCTGGTAGGACTTCTAATTCTCTCAGAATCGCTCCATTGTATTTAACTGAATAAGTCCGGAGAGAAGACATATCCTAGTCTTATACACTTTTCTATTTTTGTATAATTGCTGTAAACATTTTCTATCCGTTCGAAGCAGTAAAACCTACCTCAGTAGCTATCGACGCATACGTCGAAACTTTTACATTGTACAAGGTGGTCCGAAAGTCTTGTCACACGTACACAATATAATTTTCTATTTCGAATGGCTGACACACACCCCAGTAGTTTGGAAGAGAGCCCGCTTGCAAATGTATGGACACACGATAGTGGGTGTGTGTGTGTGTGTGTGTATTAATAATAATAATAATAATAGTAATAATTTTTAAACGCAGTCCCTTGTCCATCGTCTTTAATGAAACTTGTATAAAATATATATATATATATATATATATATATATATATATATATATATATATATATGTGTGTGTGTGTGTGTGTGTGTGTGTATATTTGGGCAGCGATCCTATTTTATACAAGTTTCATTAAAGACGATGGACAAGGGACTGCGTTTAAAAATTATTATTATTATTATTATTATTATTAATAATAATAACAGTTACAATAATAATAATAATAATAATAATAATTATTATTATTATTAATAATAATATTATCGTTATGAATATTAAATAGTAATAAATTAACAAGATTGATTGACTTATCTAATGGTTTTTGACCACTTCGACGTGGTATGTGGTTAGCAGTTTTGTCTCACCAGATCAATTACGACTGAGCAGTAAGTTCGATCTTCAAAAGCGTTGACCGAGTAAGTTGAGCCGCTAACGAAATGTAATCGATTCATTGAAAAGAGAGATCTGGCGGGCGTTTTGTTATGAAGCACTTGAGTTGGTCAAGACGATAAATTCCCGGATATCTTGTCACACCTATATAGTATAATTTTCTGTTTCAACCTTCTTTGGGGGTATTATCAAGGAAAAAGTTTCATATGAACGATACCAGAGTATCCATCAGTTGAAGGGCGCCGTTCGGGGAGCCTTTGCAACAATCAACAAAGCACAGCTTCGTAAAATATCATACAAGTCTTACTAAGTAAGGGAGAGTAGAGGTGAAGGTATACTTTTTTTTCAGAGGTATTTGCATGGAAGTAAATATAACAAACTCAACGGGTAATGGAACTCGACTTTTCGATTAAAGATCTCTAGACTTCATCGATTACACAACTTGCACATCCAACC